TATTTTTTTGGCATAGCAAAATCGATGATCAGCTATGGATCAGCCATCGTGTACACATTTTCGCGAGGTAAACAATAACGATCTTAACGAAAGTGCTCATATAAACAGCAATATTATTGATGTAAATAAAATAAATATGTGTTTAAAAAGTTAACTAAAAAGGTACTTAAAGATTAATTCAGGTAATAATTTTGTCATATATCTATATTTATGTATAGTTATTATAGTTTGCAAAATTTTATACACCATTAAATAAAGCCCGTCACAAATTGAGCCAACATTTTGTCAGACAATGCAATTACACTGAGAATGCGATAAGGCTTGCAAGCACAACAAGACTTTTTTTATGACTTATTTTTTTTAATTTATTTCTTTAAATTTATTTATTTTCATTTTTTTCCCCAAATTTCAATTTCGGAATTGTTGGTCAAAGGTCATATGAAAAATTTATAAATTTTTGGGTGGTTGTGTATTAAAGCTACACCATACACGACCAATGTAATTTGCAGTGAAAATTTACAATCAAAATGTACACTATTTTTTAGCATTTACAAAAATTAACAGAAATATATGGCAAAAAGTTACTGAAATATTATTGTTAACATGCAACTTGATATACACGCGCTCAGAAACTTGTTTATAAAACCATAACCAGTGGCTTCTAATGCTTTATGAAACCTAGGCCAACCAATTCCAATGCCGACTGGCCATCCAGAAATTCTTGATGGCCAGAATGCTTCTGTCCCCAGGTTCAGCTTAATTTATACCCAGGCTAGGCCTAGGCCTGGAAGAATAACTGTAATTTATCAAATTGTTAAAGTTTACTTACAGACTTTTCAGCACAAACTGTAGTAAAAATTACTTTCCTTATCCAAAAAAGTCGGAAATAGAGTGATGATAGCCACAACTAAAGAGATATTCTACTGTGATTAGCCCTTCAGGTAAAAGCAAACACCAGAACACACGTTTTCATTGATTTTCACCCTGCGAAGCGCCCTCAATCATAAAACACCACGATCGAAGGGCAGCGTGCGTGGCCTTGTAAGTGGGGGCTCAGTTCAAAGCAGGGCGTTTATTTGAATAAATACTGGGAAATTATTGTTTTTTTAAAACATGATGGATCACAGGATATTAGCCCATAAATTAATTATGTAGTCTTTTATGCATTTTAAATTATGACATTTACTCTTTTAATTGTGTTTGGTTTCATTTTTTTTAATTGTCTTTGCTAGTTATGTTTATTTTGTGAAAAAGGTCCTCCCTCAATGGATTGAACGAATGTACAGTGTGCAGTGGCGGATCTAGGGAAGGGGGAGGGGGGAGGGTGAATAGGATGGCTAGCCATCCCCTTCGGTGGCCGTGAAAAAAAAATGGTCACTCGTCTTGTGTGTGTGCTTCTCATCATGTTTCTTGAGTAGGTTACCCATGATAAAATACACTTTCTATTTTAAGCCTTACTACTTTTCAGATGTCATCTACTAATTTAAAAAATCTCAAATGGAAGGGGATGCCTCTCCCACATGGGCGCAGACCACGGGGGACATGTCCCCCACATATTTTTAGGAGTGGGTGGTCCCCTCATATTTTTTACCCGCATTGTAATTTCGTAAATCAGGAAGATACCTGAAAATTGTTGATGAACTGCATACGCTGTACAACCGGTATCTCTGCATGCCCACAACTGAAATAATAATAATAATAATAATAATAATAATAATAATAATAATAATAATAATAATAATAAACGATAATAATAATAGACGACTCGAGTGCGCGTGAATTTATTATAATTTGAGAAGTATGAGAAAAAGCGTGTAATACCATAGTTAATAATAGTAATAGGATTGGTTTTCGCGTAGGCACATGAAGTAGGCATCGGCGGCGCTACGGGGGGGGGGTTTAGTGGGCTCCCCCGGGAGATAAACCACAATTCGTCACTAAAGAAAAAAAAATTACAAAATTATATGTAGGCCCCTATTTTTTTTAACTTATTAATAGACTCTAAAATCGATTAAATAAAACCTTTGAAACCCCTAAATTGTGACTGTCATCGGGCTACGCCACCTGGACCATTCGAAAGGTTTTAGCGACGCATAACCACGCCCACTGACTTTCACGTTGGGGGACATCACCCCCCCCCCCCCAGGGATGATGTCCCTGACTGTTTGGCGCAGTGGGAACGGTTTGGTTCCTAACCTAGCACGAGGTCGGGGTTTCAATCATTGCTTCTCTCCACCCACAGGAGTATAAATGGGTACCTGGTAGGGTTAAAATGCGCTGATGTAGCCTCTGCAACTTTATGGAACAGTTTGTGTTCCATAAGCGTCTAATGCAATGACCGGGGGTAAGTTAAGTGAAGCGCTTAGAGGCCTTGTTAGCATTTAAGCGCTATGTAATATATTATTATTATGAAGAGCGAGACCTTGAAAATCACATTTACAAGGGTTTGGTCGGAGTGTTAAAAGATACACTTTGGCTCGTCTTGTGGCCGTAATTTGTCTCAAAGGTCTACATACTTTATCCTTCAAAAATCAATTTCAAAAAATTGATTAAAACTTTCCTCGGTTGAGGTCGCTGCTCTGATTTTGATGTCAGAGCCGTAGATAGAGAGAGTTTGGCCAACTTGGCGCATGGGCGCCATGTTGTCACCAAACAGCGTGCGCGCGTCACCAAACAGCGTGCGCGCGTATAGCTTTATAACATTTTATAAAACACTGATGCTGCATAAACTTTCTTTCATTCTGTTCATGAGGACAATTCAATTATGGGATCTTAACATGTCATTGTAAATATAATATACTGTATAATCATATTTACCTAACTTTGGAATTAATTAATCAGTGATGT